GTCGGCAATAAGCCATATACATCCCTCGGGCCTGCGGCCCTCGGGATGTATATGGCTTATTACCTCCGTTCTCGGTAACTAACTCTTACATATTTCATGAAAAAAAAAAGCGATATAGAATGTAACTTAAAATAAAACTTAAAATAACGAAACAGGAAAATAGAATAAATAGGGGTAAATCTGATACTAGGTGTCTAATGCAAAAGGATTATCATATAAACTAGACGCTATAAATTTACGATAACTATATTTGAAACTAGCTAAGAAACTTGCGTTTCTTATATCGATTACATACCGACGATGACATTACCTTTTTTTTCTGTGAAAACCTAGCTGTTTCTGTGAAAACCTGTTTAGAGCACTTCGTTAACAAACTCAAAACTATGTCCTCTATGTTTTTTACTGAGATTACAACTTCGTTGGCAAATAATTAGATGGCAGTATGGTACACAGGCATTGGCACATTTGCCAAACGCAAATGATTAGATTCCTAACCCCAGTCATGGGAAACGTTTTTATGAAAAAAGATTATTGATAAAGTATAGGAACTTACCTGAATAGGACTCGGCGGTGAATGGGATCTCAGCATCCATAGCCGTGTCCGAAATAAACGTTCCTGGATGACAATTACCTTCCCTGCATTCGAAGTTAAGTTCACGTAACCTGTGTTCATTTGTATCCTGTGGTGAACCCTCGACTAATTTGGTCGCAATTTTAGTGAGATTTTCATTTGATAAATTACACTTACTCCTGCCACCCAAGCTATCTGGTTTGCTTGGAAAGTGTTTTTTGTTTTCCTGTATTGAACCATTGGCGCCAATTTGGAGAGTCAACTCAGAGGAAGACATTTCAACGTCAGCCATACAAGGTGGAAAATTCTTTTCATAATTTTCATTCAACTGTAGCGGCGTATCTTTTTGTTTGTTAATAACTGTTAGTTGTACTTCTTCGTCTTTTAATTTTTTACACAAGTCAGAGATTCGATTTAGAGATGCTTTCGATACGTCACTCCACATTGTTATTAGTCCTGTCGATGAGCCTGAAGTCGCACTTGTATCAGGGTGTTTTGATGTCAATGTACCCTCTGCTATCCCATGTTCCTTTTCATAAAGCTTCGAATGATTAATTCGACTTGTATGCCGTGTCTGGCATTCAAACGACGATGACGATAGACAATTTGTGGACTTTTTCAGCGAAGAAGTAGAAAAAGAGCTTGAATGGATGGCAGTCCCAGCAGCGGGCGAGCTACGAGAGTCACTGGTTTGCGGGTAGTTGATATCTTGAATACTTGCAGAGACGCCATCTTGCTTTACGCTTTATAATAATAATAATAATAATAATAATAATAATAATAATAATAATAATAATAATAATAATAATAATAATAATAAT